TCAGATTGTCTCCAGAGACTGCCTATCGCGCTCAGAAGAAAATCCCACTCTTTCCCAAGACTTACAACGTCTCTGGCTGTGTTCAGGCTCCTTTTCCCCCCACTCTCCTGCTCATCTACCAGACTCTACCATCAGACTTTCTTCCGTGTCTTTGAACTCCTTCCTGCCTCAGACCCTCTCCACTTGCTCTTTCTTTTGCCTGGAATGCTGGTTCACCAGACCTTAGCTTAGCTGACTCCTTTACTCATATTTCTGCTCCAATGGCACGTCCTCAGGGAGTCCTTCCCTTCCTCTGTTTTATTGTCTTCAGCTCACATCTCGACGTTGCTCCTTTTTTACTGTCTGAATGCCCCCACTAAAGTGTGAGAAGAGTACAGGCCTTATTTATCGTGCTCACCATTTGCTGGAAGAAGAACTCAGCTCATTGTAGGAACTCAAATATTTGTTGGATAAACAAATAAATTAATGAACGACAAGTTACATAAGTTTTTATTACCTGAGAGTCAGAAAGACGAACTTTTTAATTTTGAGACTTAATTTTCAAGAGAAATTTATTTCACAAATCCTTACATAAAAGCTAAGTAATAAAATAAATATTTTGATCAGTATATTTCAAAGATTATTAACAATAGTATACTGTTTTTAGTTACTGTAAATCCATACTTAGACTATATAAGCATAATACATTTATAAATAATTTTATAACATATATTTATAAATGTATTATAAATATGTATATGTTTGGAGCCCTGGTGGCGCAGTGGTTAAGAGTTCAGCTGCTAACCAAAAGATTGGCAGTTAGAATCCACCAGCCGCTTCTTGGAAACTCTATAGGGCAGTTCTACTCTGTCCCATAGGGTCGCTATGTGTCAGAATCAACTCGATGGCAACGAATTTGGTTTTTTTTGTATGTATGTGTTTATTATATTTTTGCCTTTTAAAGTATACATTTAGTATTTCTTGAAATGTGGAACTGGTAAGGAATTTACCCTTAAATCTCGATGCTTTGAAACAATCTTTTAACTGGCGAAGGCTTTGAAGTTTATCTGTCAATTACCAAATATTTGTTGAGCATAGAATACATGAAAAGTGCGTGCTGCTGGGCTTTTCTTATGAATGAGCTAGTATTGACTGCTAACGGAAAGGTAGGCGGTTTGAATCTACCAGCCGATCCGCAGGAGAGAGATGTGGCTGTCTGCTTCCGTAAAGATTCACAGCCTTGGAAACCCTATGGGGCAGTTCTCCTCTGTCCTATAGGGTTGCTATGAGTTGGAATCGACTTGGTGGCAGGGAGTTTGGTTTGGTAGTGTCGCCCTTGTCTTTATCTTTGTACCCTGGTAGCCCTCCTCTTCCTTGCTGATGATAAAGCCAATTTTCTCTCCACAAAGACCAGCTTCAGCCCCCCTCTGCCATGACATATGAAACCCCATGTCCTTAGGACACTGATGGCCTCTCACACCTGCCGAGCGCCTGGCCTGTGGTGGTGGTTGTTAGGTCGATTCTAACTCATGGTGACCCCGTGTGCTACAGAGCAGGACTGTCCCTGAGGTTTTCTAGGCTGTAAATTATGGGAGCACATTACCAGGTCTTTCTCCTGAGGAGCCAGCACTTAATTATTGTGCCAGCAGGGCTCTTTGCCTGCCCTGTTAGAAATAACCCCTTGCTGTCGAGTCGATACCAACTCATAGCCACCCTAAAGGACAGAGTAGAACTGCCGCATAAGGCTTCCAAGGAGCGGCTAGCGGATTCAAACTGCAGACCTTTTGGTTAGCAGCTGAGCTCTTAACCACTGCACCACCAGGGCTCCCTGTTAGTTGCCCGTTTTTGTGTGAGTATAGAGCTCTTCAAACTGTCAGCCAGTTGGCTGACCGTTGGGTGCTCTCAGCAAACAAAGAAGCGCAGGCTATAGGTCCAGCCTGCCAGGCGTGCACAGGTCAGCGAGTGAGAGACTACACGGGCCAAAGGGACGTTCTAATGATAACTGAAATAAATCTCCTCACATCCACCCCTTTCCTAAGGTCTCTGTTTTTGGTGAGGTTATTTTTCCATCTCTGTGACTAAGGCATGAATAAGAGATGAAAGAGGAAGGGCTGGTTTGCAGCAGAACGAAATGACTTTGAGGTTGGGTTTGAGGTTTTGTGGGACAGGCTTGGCTGAGTCATCTTTGCTCCCCTCCATTGACATGACTCAATCAACTGCCGACTTCCAAAGACCTTGCCTCTGTGAGGTCTTTCAAATCTGCCTCCTCTTAGTTCAGGCGCTCATTTGAGTGACTATGGCAAGTTCTGAGCCCGCCCTAGTTCTATCACTCTCCCCTTCCTGACCTATCCTCCTTACACCCAGTTCCACGTTTTCAGTTCTTCAACAGTGATTTCAGTGCCTACCCTGTGCTTCCACGGCTCCTGCCCTTGTGGAAGTTTCAACGATAATATCATCCTACCCTTCAAAGGAAGCCTTCATTGGCCACGGACTTATAAACACCCTGTGCCCCAGCCTGGAGTTCAAAGCCTTCTGAGCTCACTTGCCAGGTTTATCTTCTACAGCAGCTCCCTACCTACCCTGTACCGCAGGAAGCCTGTGCCTTCATAACCCTTGTCTTTATTCACACTCCTCCCTAAGCCTGGAATGGCCTCTGCTCTCCTGCCTCCCTCTCGCACGCCACCTTCTCCATCTGTCAAAATTCTAATCTGTCCTTCATGACTTAGCTCAAATCCCAGCTCTCTCAAAGGCCCTTCATGAGCCCGTGTGCAAGATGTGTGCTCTCCCTCTCTGATTTCCCATGTTGACCTTTTGTAGACTTCTGATACCCATCATGTTACACTTTCCATCAAGTTAAAAGTACATCTGATCTCCCCTATTAAACTATCAGAGAGAAGAGTCCATGTCTCATTCATCTCTGTAGGTTTCTCTTCTCTCCACCTCACAGCTGCCTTACACTTCTCTCCATCTTACAGCTGCCTTACACATGGGGTGTCTTATACAAATGACGGCCATATAGTTTATTGTCCAAATCAGAATACTTTTGAGACTGAAATTATGCTGGGCTACAAGTGAAACTCAAATTGTCCTTGGCTACTTGGACATATGGTCACCCTGTTTATGCAAAACAAGGGCTTGATGAATACCTTATGAATTTAGCTGAAATGCCGACTGTGTGGCATGTGAAAGAGTGGAGGCAGGAGCCCTTACTGGAGCCAGCATTTTTAGGGATGGTCCCACTAAGCAAGTGGTCCTTGGGGTATGTCTAGAGAGAATGTATGGGATTCATTAAACAGAGAGAAGAAGGAATGACATTCTGGGAGGATAAAATGATAGGAGCTGTTATGGCTTGAATTGTGTCTCCCAAAAATGTGTGTCAACTTAGCTAGGCCATGATTCCCAGTATTGTGTGGTTGTCCACGATTTTGTGATCTGATGTGATAACCTATGTGTTGTAAATCTTAACCTCTATGATGTTAATGAGGCAGGATTAGAGGCAGTTATGTTAATGAGGCAGGACACAATTTACAGGATTAGGTTTTATCTTGAGTCAATCTCTTCTGAGATATAAAAGACAGAAGGGAGCAGAGAGGAGAGGGACCTCATTACCACCAAGCAAGAAGAGCCAGGAGCAGAGTGCATCCTTTGGACTTGGGGTCCGTGCATTGAGCAACTCCTAGACACAAGGGAAAATTGATGTCAAGGACCTTACCCCAGAGCTGACAGGAAAGAGAAAGTCTTCCCCTGGAGCTGGTGCCCTGAATTTGGACTTCTAACCTCCTAGACTGAGAAAGAATAAATTTCTGCTTGTTTAAAGCCATCCACTTGTTGTATTTCTGTTATAGCAGCACTAGATAACTGAGACAGGAGCAAAGGCAGTAATACATTTGACGTATTCAGAGAAAGGTAAGTATGGCAGAAATTAATGGTTTACATTGGGGAGAAACAGGCAACACGATTGGAAAGTAGAGTAGGAAGGAACTGGGCCCCTAGCACCAGTCTAAGGGGGGCAGTATTTCTGAGCTAGAAAAAGACAAAGTAAACGCAGAATTTTAGGGAGATTAGTCTGGTGGCTGTGTTTATGACAGATTGGAATGGTGAAAGGCTGAGGAGAGGGAGGCCATATGGTAGTCACGGAAATAATCTCCGCGTAAGAGGATAAGGACTTAAAGGAAATATTGGTAACGAAAAAGAATAAGTCAAGAGAAACTGAAAAGGAAGGGTGAACAGCACTTTGTAACTGGCTGCATCCGGCAAGGGAGAGGAGGGAGTCAGGGATGGCTTTGGGGTGACTCCTTGTACAGATTCTATCTATTGGTATCATATTGAAAAAAGGAAGTCAAGAGGCAGAGGCAATGTCCAAGAAGATTAGAAGTGTAGATTTCCACATGTTGAGTGTGAGGTACAGTGCGTCATCTACGTGGAAATGTCCAGTAGATAGGAGAGCCTATGGGTTGGGAGGGATGAGGACCAGTGACAATGATTTAGGAGCCACCCACAGGAGGTGAGAGGTGAAAGATAAGACAGGATGAGGTGTCTTAGGGACAAACAGTAGGAACAGGGCTGTTGAGGATCAATGACTGGGTCTTGGGAAATGCCTGCACTTAATGGAGCGGGGAGAGAGAGGGAGTCAGAGAAGGAGTCACCCTGGGGAAAGAGCCGGGTAACGTAGAGTCCTGAGGACTGAAGGGAGGTTCAAGAAGGAGGTAGCCAATTGTGTCAAATTTTGCAGAGAAGTTGAGAAAAATTACAGGAAAAAGTTGAGAAAATTTGCTCCAAAAAATGGCTTTGGTCACTGGGATGATGATCGAAACTATCTAAGGAAATGAACCAGAAATGGGTTCATCTGGCCAGTGATGTTCCACACAAGAAAAAGCTGTGTTGATGTGATGCGTATTTCCATCCTTAAGAAATGTAATAGCAGAGCAGCCAAAAAGTCAGTTAGATACAACTAAAACCCAAATGGTTCTAATATTAACCAGGCTTGTGACCTACAACCAAAATACCCAAATGATACTAACCTCTGATACCTCTTTTCACCTAAAAGGTAGCAATACTGGGCGTAGAAGAAAGAACTTTTCTTGATACAGATTCCATCATAATGATACCTGAAAAAAAAAAAAGGTTGCCTCACAAATCACGTCAAACTACCTCCATACTTCGTGTTTTATGGATGACACAAAGTAGGCAAGTGAATTGGCATTTGGAATTCTCTAGGCTTTATCACTGATCCCATTTATTACCAAAAGTTAATCTAGTTATTCAGCCTGATGAAGCTCTTTTAGGCAGAGAAACAACTTCATACTATTTCATACGTGTTATCTTTGTTGTTGGTGGCACAGTGGTTACGAGTTCAGCTGCTCACCAAAAGGTTGGCATTTCGGATCCACCAGCTACTCCTTGGGCAGTTCTACTCTGTCCTATAGGGTCACTATGAGTCCGAATTGACTCGACAGCAATGGGTTTGTGTTGATTGGACTGTTTTTGTTAGCTGCTGTTGAGTTGGCCCCTGACTCCTGTGACCCCATGTACAACCAACAACACGCTGCCCTGCCCTGTGCCATCCCAATGATTGGAGTGTTGCGATCCATAAAGTTTTCACTGGCTGATTTTTGGAAGTAGATCACCAGGCCTTTCTAGTCCTTAATCTGGAAGCTCTGCTGAAGCCTGTTCAGCATCATAGCAACACGCAAGTCTCCACTGACAGACAGTGGTGGCAGCACACGAGGTGCTTTGGCCAGAAATCAGATCTGGGTCTCCTGCATGGAAGGTGGGAATTCTACCACTGAACCGCCAATGCCCCCATTTCATACATGTTAGCCTTGAAATGGGCTTGAGAATCCCCATTCTAAAGGAGCCCTGGTGGAGAAACAGTTAAGAGATTGACCGCTAACCGAAAGGTGGGTGGTTCAAACCCACCAACGGTTCTGGGGGAGAAAGATCTGTCCATCTACTCCCGCAAACATTACAGCCTAGGAAACCCTGTGGGGGCAGTTCTACTCTGTCATAGAAGGGCACTATGAGTTGGAAGGGACCGGACAGCACACAGCAACAACAATCTTCGAGAGATGCAAGAGGAAAAGTCTCCTGCTGCCCCCACCACCAGCCTTTTCCAAGTGAAGTGGAAGCACACCTTTCCTGTATTGAGACCTGAACCGAGGTTCGCAGAAACCCAGGAAGGAAGCTGCCCGGGGTCCTTCCCTGCTGCTGAGCCCAGGAAACTCCAGCAGCTTGTTCAGGCTCATCGCAGCCAACCAAAAATATTTTAAGTGAATTATTGCCCCCTGCTGAGTTTGGCAACCTCTTCCAGTATCCTCTGCTCCTTCATGGGAGGCAGGCTCCTTTCCTAACTTGGCTTCAATCCCTTCTCACTGCTTTCTTATCTTGATTTAAAACAAACAGTAATCACAGAGTGACAGTTATGACATGCTGCGCCCAATAACACTGAAGTGCCTTTCGTGTGTTACAAATGTAGCCTTAGGCCCGCGTATCCTGAATATAATTCAAACATGCTAATTAGATGGATACTTGGAAATTTTAGTTCAAAGAGTAATTAAAACTGTTCTGTTATTCTGTGTGGGTCATTACTTAAATATTTCAATAATTAGACATTTACATGTTTAAACATTTAAAATGTTCAAGCAAAAATTATATGATGACCTTTGTACTTGAACAAAATTCCTGAGGAAATGGAGACCTGTGTTTGGTTCTAGGGTCACCTGAATTATTTCAGGCTCTGGGATTTAATGTGAATTATGAAAACTCTTTGCTAAGAGTCATTTATAGTTTATTCTGTTTTGCATTGTCTTATCACCCATTTTGTGATTTTTCAAATGCTCGTTTTTAAACATTTTAAATTAAGAAAAAAAATATATAACCTACCTGGCACCTCCTCTTGCGCCCAGCCTTCTGGTTCCGAGATCAGGAAATGCCAAGTGCACAAGCTAAAAAAAAAAAAAAAAAAGAAGCCAGATTTAAAACTGTAATTAGAAAATTTAGACATAAAATTTCCATTTTTTCTCTTATAAGGTTTAAATTGTATTTCCTCTTTTTCGTTATAATGAAAAGATACATAAATGAAATTTGGAAAAATCACACAAGTATAAAGAAGAAAACATATCGTTCAGAGATAACTGCCCCTTTAATATTGTTCCTTCTAGGCTTTTCCAAAGCCTCAGTATATATATGTATACTACATGTATACATATTAAATCACTGGGATTGCACAATTTGCGTGTCTGCAGTTTTGCATACTACATTCTTCCCTCAACGTTGTATCCTAAACATCCAACCTTGTCATTAAAAATTCTCTGAAAACAGGATTGTTGTTCTTAGGTGTTGTCGAGTCTGTTGCGAGTCATAGTGATCCCATGTACAACAGAACTAAACACTGCCCAGTCCTGCGCCATTCTCACGATCCTTGCTATGTTTGAGCCTATCGTTGCAGCTACTGTGTCTAATCCATCTCATTAAGGGTCTTCCTCTTTTTTGCTGACCCTCTACTTTACCAACCATGGTGTCTTCTCCAGGGACTGGTTCCCCCTGATAACATGTCCAAAGTACTTGGGACGAAATCTTGCCATCCTCGCTTCTAAGGAGCATTCTAACTGTACTTCTAAGAACAGATCTGTTCATTTTTCTGCATTCCATGGTATATTCAATATTCTTGGCCAACAATTCTTCTTCAGTCTTCCTTATTCATTGTCCAGCTTTTGCATGCATATGAGACAGTTGAAAATATCATCGTTTGGGTCAGGTGTACCTTAGTCCTCAAAGTGATATCTTTGCTTTTTAACACTTTAAAGAGGTCTTTTGTAGCAGATTTGCCCAGTGAAATCCGTCACTTGATTTCTTGACTGCTGCTTCCATGGGCATTGATTGTGGATCCAAGTAAAATGAAATCCTCGACAACATCAATATTTTCTCCGTTTATCATGATGTTTCTTATTGGTCCAGTTGTGAGGATTTTTGTTTTCTTTGTTGAGGTGTAATCCATACTGAAGGCTGTAGTCTTTGATCTTCATCAATAAGTGCTTCAAGTCCTCTTCCCTTTCAGGAAGCTAGGTTGTATCATCTGCATATGATAAGTTGTTAATTAGTCTTGCTCCAATTTGATGCCTTGTTCTTCTTCATATAGTCCAGCTTCTCGGATTATTTGCTCAGCATACAGATTGAATAAGTGTGGTGAAAGGATACAACCCTGACACACACCAGTGTAGAATTAGAAGCCACGAACTCCTACATTCAACCACAGATTCTGACAGTTTTATCTCCTCTGGCTTAATAAAATCACTTAAAACCTTGTCTCTATGTCTAGGTGTAAAACAAAATCAAGGGGCAAACAGCAGGTACCTAGAGGCTTTATTATAAAGTATGCAGCAAGCTCAGATTCAAGGTTCTGCGGAATAATTTGGAGTTTAGGAGGAAGCAGCAGAAATAAACTGCTCAGTTGTCTGGCCACATCATAATCTACATACTTAGTTTTCTTGCGTAAACCAACCCTGGGTTATTTTGTTAATCCACAGTTAAAACGAAAAGATTGAAAAACCAAGTGGGATGACTATTTGCAAAACAGAAAAAGCAAAAAATGTATATCCTTACTATAGAAGAGCTCACACACAAATCAATAGGAAAATCACTAATAACCCAAGAGCAAATGGTCTGGTGGTAAAATGTCCACAAACAAGATGTTATTGTTAGCTGCCATTGAGTCGATTCCGACTTATGGTGACTCCACGTGTTACAGAGTAGAACTGCTCCATAGGGCTTTCGTGGTTGTAATCATAACAGGAGTAGACTGCCACAACTTTTCTTTCACAGCCCCAATGGGTGGGTTTGAAAAACCAACCAAAGGGGTTAGCAGTCAAGTGCAAACAGTTTGCACCAATGTTATGGATTGAATTATGTCCTACAAAATGTTTGTCGTAAATCCTAACCTCTACACCCGTGGTTCTGATCCCACTTGGGAATGGGTTGTCTTTGTTATGTTAATGAGTCAGGATTAGTGTAGGGTATATCTTGAGTCAATCTCTTTTCAGATATAAAAGAGATTAAACAAGCAAGCAAGAGAAGCAGAGATGGGGAAACATAGATATCAAACCACAGGGAGATCTCCAAGGAAACGGAAAACAGAAGCTGAAGAGACAGAGACCTTCCCCCAGAGACTATGGAAACAGAAAGTCTTCGCCTAGAGTCGGCACCCTGAATTCGGATTTCTAGTCACCTAAACTATGAGACCACTGCTTGTCTGTCAGTTTGTCATACTGTGGTGGCTTGTGTGTTGCTGGGATGCTGAAAGCTTTGCCACTGGTATTTCAAATACCAGCAGGGTCACCCATGGTGGACAGGGTTCAGCAGAGCTTCCAGACTAAGACAGACTAGGAAGAAGGACCTGGTGATCCACTTCTGAAAAAACTGGCCAGTGAAAACCTTGTGAATAGCAGCAAAATATTGTCTGACATAGTGCCAGAAGAGGAGCCCCTCAGGTTGGAAGGCACTCAAAATACAACTAGGGAAGAGCTGCCTCCTCAAAGTAGAGTTGACTTTAATGACACCGATGGAGTCAAGCTTTCAGGACCTTCATTTGCTGATGTGACTCAACTCAACATGAGAAGAAACAGCTGTAAACATCCATTAATAATCGGAACATGGAATGTACGAAGTATAAATCTAGGAAAATTGAAAGTTGTAAAAAATGAAATGGAACACATAAAGATTGATATCCTAGGCATTAGTGAGCTGAAATGGACTGGAATTTGCCATTTTGAATCAAACAATCATAAGGTCTACTATGCCAGGAATGACATATTGAAGAGGAACGGCATCCCATTCATTGTCAAAAAGAACATTTCAAGATCTATCCTGAAGTACAGTTCTGTCAGTGACAGGATAATATCCACACGCCTACAAGGAAGGCCAGTTAATACAACTGTTATTCAAATTTACACACTAACCACTAATGCCAAAGAGGAAGAAACTGAAAATTTTTACCAACTTCTGTGGTCTGAAACTGATCAAACATGCAATCAAGATGTATTGCTAATTACTGGTGATTGGAATGTGAAAGTTGGAAACAAAGAAGAAGGACCAGTAGTTGGAAAATATGGCCTTGGTGACAGAAATGATGCCAGAGATAGCATGATAGAATTTTGCAAGACCAATGACTTCTTCCTTGGAAATATCTTTTTTCAACAACATAAACAGCCATTATACATATGGACCTTGCTGGATGGAATACACAGGAATAAAATCAACTACATCTGTGGAAAGAGACGATGGAAAAACTCAATATGATCAGTCAGAACAAGGCCAGGGGCCGACTTCAGAACTGACCATCAATTGCTCATATACAAGCTCAAGTTGAAGATGATGAAAATTAAAACAAGTCCACAAGAGCCAAAGTACGACCTTGAGTACTTCCCACCTGAATTTAGAGACCATCTCAAAAATAGATTTGACTCATTCAACTCCAATGACTGAAGACCAATTGAGTTGTGGAATGATATCCAGGACGTCATACATAAAGAAAGCAAAACGTCATTAAAAAGACAGGAAAGAAAGAAAAGATCAAAATGGATGTCAGAAGAGACTCTGAAACTTGCTCTTGAACGTTGAGTAGCTAAAGCACATGGAAGAAACGTTGATGTTAAAGAGCTGAAGAGAAGGTTTCAAAGGCAGCTCGAGAAGACAAGTATTATAATGAAATGTGCAAAGACCTGGAGTTTGAAAACCAAAAGGGAAGAACATGCTCAGCATTTCTCAAGCTGAAAGAATTGAAGAAAAAATTCAAGCCTCGAGTTGCAATATTAAAGGAGTCTATGGGGAAAATATTGAACCATGCAGGAAGCATCAAAAGAAGATGGAAGGAGTACACAGAGTCACTGTACCAAAAAGGATTGGTCAACATTCAGACATTTCAGGAGGCAGCATATGATCAAGAACCAATGGTACTGCAGGAAGAATTCCAAGCTGCATTGAAGGCACTGGTGAAAAACAAGGCTCCAGGAATTGACAGAATACAAACTGAGATGTTTCAGCAAACGGATGCAACGCTGGAAGTAGTCACTCGTCTATGCCAAGAAATTTGGAAGACAGCTACCTGGCCAACCAACTGGAAGAGATCCAGACATGTGCCCATTCCAAAGAAAGGTGATCCACCAGAATGCAGAAATTATTGAAAAATATCATTAATATCACACACGTAAAATTTTGCAGCAGTATATCGACAGTGAAATTCAAGCCTCATTCAGAAGAGAACGTGGAATGAGGGCTATCATTGCTGATATCAGATGGATCTTGGCTGAAAGCAGATTATACCAGAAAGACATTTACCTGTGTTTTATTGACTATTTATGACTGCGTGGATTATAACAAATTATGGATAACATTGTGAAGAACAGGTATTCCGAACACTTAATTGTGCTCATGCAGAGCCTGTACACAGACCAAGAGGCAGTCATTGGAACAGAAGAAGGGGATACTTCATGGTTTAAGACCAGAAAAGGTGTATGTCAGGGTTGTATCCTTTCACCATACTAATTCAATCTGTATGCTGAGCAAATACTTTGAGCAGCTTGACTATACGAAGAAGATCACGGCATCAGGATTGGAGGGGTCAAAACAACACCTGGCAAGCTGAGGGAAGGGGAGTAGGGAGTGAAGAAGCCCCTGCACCTAGTTCTCTGACTGCAAGAGACTAAGCTGGAGGAGGTGAGTAAAAGATCCAACTTTAAACCAAGTTCAGAGTTCTGCTTATTATATAGGATTGGCCATTCTAAGTATCAGATTGATACTGTTTGGTAATTAGAGCAACAAGAAGGTTTTGTCCAAACTTCCAGATTTGATTTTTGTCTTCTTCCTCCTTCTTTTTGGGCTTAGAGATGTAGCAGCCTTGGGTGCTGCATGAGCTACGAATTTCTTGAGAAGTCATGCTGCCTGCTCAGAT